GGAGCCGAGGCACTGGGGCGGGCTATGAGGATACAGAGCACAAGCCTGTGATGTGAAAGGGGAAACTGAGGCACAGAGGAGGCACCGTAGGTGAGGTTCAAGAACGAGTCGGAGGTTTTGTCGGGGCCACGGGGGATAGGTGAGGTTCAAGAATGAGTCGGAGGTTTTGTCGGGGCCACGGGGGCAGCCGGGCGAGTAGTCCTGCACCCCCATTTGCCCCACCAGGACCCGACTCCCTGAGAGTGCCCCTTGCCCACCCGGCCCCCAGAGCCAGGGCGAGGAGTGGGCCCGTGCCCAGCTGGTTTTGGGTGCAGCCAGCCTTGCCCCGAGGGCGGGGAAGCACTCCGGAGCCATCACACCCAAAACTCACCCAAAACCCCAAGTGTTCAAGGCAAACAGTCCCACCCAGCACCGGGGGCACAGAGGCACCCAAGCTCCAGGGCCACCCCATGCTGACATTTCCCCATCCATCCTTCCCCCTCGCTGGCAGCGGGGCCGGGCTGTGGCCCCCCCTCCCTGGAGAAAGGCCCCCCAAGCCCTTGGGACGGGGCCAGGGACAGTGACCCTGGAATGAGAGCTGTGCCACAGCTCAGGGACCCCCCAAGCTGGCCCTCCAAGCTGCTCTCCGGGCAGAGGGGTTTGAGTGCTCCTTCTCCGGTGTTTGCCAAGGGCAGCGGCTGCTCACTCCTGCGTGGGAGGGGATTTCCCCCCCTTCCCGAAGTGGCCGGGGCCGCACCTTCAGATTAAGTGGAAATGGGGCATTCAAAGATTACACAGTCCAGCTGCAGAGGGGAAAAACAGGCACAGCTGCAGCCTCCATCCCTCCTCCCTCCTCCAGTCCCTGCCTTATTCCCCTCCTCCTCCCCAGCAATACCTGCCCCGGGCTCCCCGCCAGCAGCAGATGCCCACGGGGACATGCCAGCCCCCCCGTCTGCCACCCCAGAGCCCTCCTTCGCGCTCCCCGGCGGGGCGAGGGAGGCAGGGTGACGCAGGGGGACACTGAGTCACAGTTTCAGCTGCCGGTACCCGCTACTGGGACGCGGGGCCAGCATACCTGCGGGGTCAAGGCTCGGCTAATAATAACCACCCTGCTGCAAACAATCCGGCACCGCAAGGGGGAAGGGAGAAACCCTCACCCTGGGTCTCCAGCCAGGGCCAGGGGGACCCAAATCTTTTGGTCAGACCTGTCCGGTAGCATTATAAGCACTTATTTCGGGCTCTGTCCCCTCCCGGCTCCAACCGGCACCATGGCATCGCGGTCATGCTTTCGCCCCATGCCAGCCCTGGAGCCTTCCCCCTCAGCCGGCTGCTACCCCTGCCCCAGGGCAGAGAGGGGGACCGGCTTCGAAGCATCTTCCTGCGCAGCGGTGCCCGAGCACCCAGCTCTGCTGCTTTCCACCCCTTTGCCGCCTGCATCCCCCCGCCGCGGGGGCTAAGCCATCTCAGGGCTCAGCACCGACGTGGCAAGGATTTTAGGAGATGCCTCATGTCCTTGTGGCGGAGGACGTGACAGCCAGGGATGAGCCGCTGAGCCTGGCCAGCTCACGCTGCGGTGCCCCGGCCCTGGATGAGCTCAGATGCGGGGAGGCTCCAGCTGATTCACGCAGAGGAGCATCTGCTGAAGATGCCTTGGGCCACGCTCAGCAGGAAATTCTTGCTTTGTACAGGGCTGGGTGAACCCTGCTCAATTTTCGCTTCAATTCACTGTTTTGATTGCCGGGAGAACATGATCCGGGGACAGAAAGCTGAAATTTAAACTCGAAATCTCCCCCTTTCGCAACCAGGGCGGGAGAGGAGCAGACACAGCCCGTTTCTGTAGAGCTCAGCAACACACAGACGTGCGTAGCAGTACCTGCTGCTCCCAAGGAGCTCCCAATTTTGCAGCGTCCCCAGGCTTGGCTGGGTGTTTGAGAGCTTTCTCCCTAGAACCTGCAGCAGAGGGTAACCAGGAGGCTGCAAGCACAAGATGGACGCTAGGGAAAGCTCCAGCCCTCGACGGCTCCGAAAAACCTTTCGTTTTTATATTGGTGTGACAGAAAGAAAATTGCCCCTCCGCTGGTCCAGGACATGCTGGTCCCAGGAGGATGCCGAGCCAGCAGCTACCACGAAGCACAGCCACATCCCGGATCTCCCGGGAAGACGGTGAACTGGCAGATGGCACCTCTGATGTGCCAAAGGGATTTAACGTGGGCAGAATTCCCGGGACTTGCAGCTGGGGCCGGCGGCCACAGGGAAGGGAACAGCCAGAAACAACTTTTAGAAAGGATTCGGCTACCGGGTGACGAGAAGCCGGGGGACAACGTACAGCAAGGCCACCAGGATTGGGGCAATACCCCTTTCGCAGGGCGCTAGCACTGGTAACAGGCAGAGTTGACGGTGCGGGAACATGCTCCTGCCCGGAGGGCATCTCTGCTGGCAGCCTCGCATCGCTGCCGTGCTGCTCCCCGCCCCGCTGGCAGCAGAGGCGGGGAGGAAGGTGGCCTGTCACCGCCTGGTGGCACCAGCACTCCCTGCAGCAGCGCAAAGCTGTTGAACAGCCTCCTCCCTGCAGAGGCTTCACCGGACACAAACAGCCCCAAACTGCTGCCATTTCACCTCGGGGGGGGAGAGGGGCAGGTCCTGCCAGAAGGGCTTCAGGACGATAGGAGCGGGGATGGCGGCTCACAGCAAGAGCAGGGGGCTGCGACCTCCCCCAGGACAGACACTGCTGGGTCACCTCTGCCGACACCATGGCCACAGACCACCAGGCTCCGGGGTGGGACCAGCGCCCCGTGTCCTGTCCCTGCGGCGATTCGTGTCCCTCCAGCAGAGCTGAGCTTTCCCTCCTTTCTCCTGGCTGGATCGAGTGTCCCCAGCCCTGCGGAGCAGGCTGGGCCCCCAGAAAGGGCCACCGAAGGGGGGGAGGCACCCCAAGCCACCGGGCAGCTTGAAGGCAAAGCAGCGACTTGCCGTGGAAATGAAGTGTTTATTACGACCGAGCAGAGATACAGGGGCAGGAGGGAGGAGGCTTCGCTGTAAGAGGTGCCTCAGAGACAGGGAGCTGCGGTGCGCCGGAGGGAGGCCCCCGTTTGCTTTCCAGCTGGTCTAGGGGGAGCGAGACACCCCCCTCTCCCCGTCCTGTCCCCAAGCATTACCAGGGCAAGGTTCTGCCTTCACAAGGGGGTCTGTCACCTCAGGACCACTCTCCCAGCCAGTCCCAGATGTGGCCATCAACCCCACCCAGAGATGCAAGCGCAGTTTCTACGAAAATATCCTTCCCTCCCGAAAAAAAAAGACTGTAGAGAGCAGGCCGGGCTCCCGCGGTACAGTGTTATTGCTCAGTGTGACAGACAGTCAGACACAGGAACTTAAGGCAACAGGAATAAGTGCACTAGGAGGGCTCCCCGATGCGTGCACGGCACAGGCGGGCCCCCACCCCAGCTCATTGTCTCAGGCAGTCCTCGGTGACACCCTGCGCGGCCAGCTCTGCCAGCACATTGTCCAGGTAGTTGGGGTCAGGGTAGCCGTGGCCGCTCAGGTTTGTGTCCATCTCCGTCTTGTGGTGGATCTCGTTCCACACCACCGTGTTGCTCTCGCCGGTGGTGCTGGAGGTGCCCACTGTGAAAATCAGGCGTCTCTTCCAGGCCACCCTTAGGAGCTCCAGGACCTAGAGGTGGAAGGAGAAAAACCAAAGCTGGCCTTCAGCAGCTAGGAGACTTGAACCATGAGAGCAGCTTGCCAGAAGCCTAACAGCCTAAATCCCTGCTATAGCGGGAGGAAACCAGAGATCCCAGCATCGGAAGGGATGTCCCTCACCTCCTAGTTACCCATATCGTTCCCCTGATGGGAAGGACCATTCCCTGCACATGCTGGTCTTCCAGGACTTGAAAAATACTGGCACAAGTTGAGACAAACACACCCACCTAGAGGAAACAGGGATGGGAAGAGCCAGCAGCCGGACTTTGTGAGCTCAGCAGTTTTAAGTGCAAACCCTTGTAACTGCATAGCCCAAGACAGGCTAGGAGCGTCTTCCCAAAAGATCAGACGGGATTTTGTTTGGTAAAGGGATGAAGGAGAGTAAGTCTTCACAGTCAAAGCTGTGAAGAAGCAGCAAAGAACTTCAAAGGCAGAGGGGTTACAAATACACGTAAGGAACAAACAGCATGGACAACTACTAAGAATAGCTGGTTAGCATCACGAGGACAGCTCCCAAAAGCAACCCTGTTGTGCCGATCCACCAACACAGGGCCAAGAGACAGCCTGAGAAGGGTCACGTTATCAGGGTGTGATACCTTACCTTTCTGCCCTTCTCGTTGTCTGGTAGATAACAATAGCGAGGAAAGCCTCTTGCTGTGTAAGGCATCCCAGGGTTGGGGTGCTCAGGGCCCTGCAAAAGGTAAGACATATTTGGCACAGACGCATCCATCTTCATGAGTTGGGCAATCCCTCAGCAGCGGGATTTGACATAGGTCCATCTCAAAGCAGCTCTCCCACGTAAAGGGAGCAAGGTATTGCTGATGATGGGTATGAGGTATCTGACTTGTTCTTATGGGACATGCGAGTATTACGGGTCCTCCGAGAGCGGTCTCATGCCGGAATTACAAAGCCAGCTCTTCATACTACTTAAATTCTGGTGGGAGACAGCCCCAAACCACAGCTTTTTCCATGTGGTCTGATGACACCCTAAAAAGATCACCCAGCTCAAACCTTTGCAAGCTCACTGCAACCACCGAAACCTCAGACGTGGGTTGCGAAACCAGACGTTGGGATCTCTCCCACCTTGTGAGCATGGGCCGAGTCTCCTCTCTGCTTCACACAGACATTAGTCTTTACTGTAGGAGAAAGGCTGTTGTAGACCCTGGGGCCACACTCGAAGGGGGAAAAGATCTTTCACAGAGGAGACTCAAGCCACCCATACATTGAAGAACAGCCAGTGCAGCTTGCTGCTGGCTCCAGGCACCTTAGGCTGCTCAGTGGTGGGCTGCCAGCAGGTGCTGTACTAGATCCCCGTACTTCTCTGGGAGGCTCTCACAGCTTGTGCTATCTGGCAGCAGCCATTCTTGCGAGCGCGCTGTGCACTCACCTGGATGCCTCTGCTGATGTGATACACAATCTGGATCGTCCCGCAGTCCTTGTGGCCAGGGAGGGACTGGGGAAAAGTGGACACCTCCATCTTCCCTTTGGGCTGAGTACCGGTTTTCTCTCCGTAGATGGTTTTACAAGAGGGGCACTGCAAACTCCCATCCTGCAGGGAGAGAGAAGCAGGCATCAGAGCTCCACAGCCAAGTCACCCGGGTGCAGAGGACCTGGTGGGGATGGGCTGGCTTGGTACCTTGTTCCCGTTGGAGTACATGGCCAGCATGCAGAGCATGTGGAAGGAGTGCTGGCAGTTTGTCAGACGACCGACTGTCTCCGGCTTGATTGTGCTGCACTCGCATGCGTCGCCGTAACCTGAGGGGGAGGACAGCTTCTCCATGCAGATGATACAGTCCTAGAGTCCGGGACAGCAAGGAGAAAACCACCATGTAGTGCGAGCACAGGCTGATCGTAATGACTGACCCACCAAGGAAGCGATCAAGGAGATGCTTCCGGAAGATTTGCCTTCAACTTTAATCCTTCCCTTTGAGGTTTAAGGGCACAGAGACAGGTTTCCTTATCTGGCTGGTATCACCCCACTCCACCACCTCCTGGACAGCACAGGAAGAGAGCTGCCATCAGTCAGAGTGGGAACTGAGTATGGATTGTGTCCTGCTCCTCCACAGAGCAGCTCCAGTGCAGGGTTTTGATCTCTGTAGTTTTGACCTCTATGAGCATTGAGAGGAGACCAAAGTCAAACTCCCTCTTCCACCCCAGGCCCTGTGGCCAGCTCCAAGGGAAATGGGGAGGCATCGCCAGGATTAGCTGGCACGCCGTGCTTTCTCTGTCACAGTCCTCTGACAAGGACAAGTCACCGGTTACCACGTGTGGGCTTCAGGCAGTGCTGAGGCCTCTCCACCTAGCATCAACAGTGCCATTGCAGCAGTATCTACCACACGGGATGCCCAAGGAAGTACGGTCCTCAGGCATCGCTGTGGTTTTCACAGCACCCCAGTGAACAGGCCACTGGGCAAGCCGGAGTCACTTCACTGTCCTCTCACCTCATCGGCAGAAGAGCCCTTCACCTCTTCCAGGTACTTCTTCACCACCGCTTCTGGCTCGGTTGGTGTCGCTGCACAAGGAGAGAGATGAGAAAAAGAGAGAAGAAATCAGACATGCTGTGAGGTATGACGGGCATGTGCAGGGTGAGCTAGAGAGAAGGGAGACAAGCAAGTCACTGGCCAGGACGCCAAGGAGAAAGGTTAGGGTTAGAGGGGGAGAAGAGGCTGCTCCAACTGATCCCTACAAGCCCCACAAAGGCTTTGCTATCAGAAATGGCTATTGCTAGGACTGCGAGCGCCGCAGATGGGAGAACCCACTGGCAGATGTTGGTGCCCTGCGCCGTACACCCAGGGGTCCGCCTGTGGCTGCTGTGCTCCAGTTCTCCCCACGTACCCCAAGCGACGCCAGCCAGGTCCCAGCTGGACTTTCTTTGTGCACACCAGAGGCCAGCTAAGATCAAACTCAACCCAGGGACCCTGTAGTCTCACCGGGACAGAGGATTACATCATCTGTGGCGTCAAAGGAGAAGAGGCATTCCCACATGGCCCCAGCTGATGTGGGACCTTCTCACACCCTGCAGCTGGCACCTGATAAGGAGAGACCCAGCAATATGCTAAGCTTCAGGCCCTGTTTCAAGTATGGCAGAACGAGCCTCGCATCCTTAGCACAAAATAGCCTCTCTCTCAAACTTCCACATACTCAAATCCAGCAAGACACAGCGCAAATCACGGGGTACAGAAAACAAACCAGCTTTACAATAGGTACCCTATTTGCAGCACACGACACTGATATCTTTGCATTTTCCTAAATATAGTCCCTGCTCCTCATCCACCCAGGCACGAGCACCCGAGCAGCCCACCAGCATCAGCAGCGTGGTCCCCTCGGAGGTGTTACGGGATTAAGCAACAAACATCACACAACACCCAGAGCAAGTTACCGCCGAGAGCATCAGCAGTCACCTCAACTCCCAGCCCATCCTTCTGGAGCTGCCCAGCAAGGCTTTGCTTAAGCCAGCAAGCATCGCACGCCTCTGCCCGGCGCCCAGCTCCGGGCGAGAGGAGATGAGCTCCTTACTGGTCATCAGGCCCGTCATGGAGGCTGCCAGGCTCTTCCACCAGCCTAGGAAAGGAAACATTTGCACAAGTGATGTTATGACTCCACCTGGCAGGAGGCAAAAGAGAGACCTGTCACTTGGCTCGGGGGGACCCTTGCCCTTCCTTCCCGAATCTACTTCTGGGAGAGATCAGGGGAAAGCAGTGCTGTGACGAACAGGCCAGCAAAGGCGTAGCTCTTCCTCCTCCATTCTCCTTCATCCTGGCCAGCCGAGCTGCCGGGGCGGTTTGGGGAGCAAAGGAAATGCGAGCAGCAGCCAGACAGGCCACAAGCATCCGTGCCCAACACCCCAGGGCCTCACAAGGAGTTGTACTCCAACACTGCCCCAAAGAGCTTTGCTCTTGAGCTCGTTTCTAAGCCACTGTAAGACATCAACTGTGCTTTAGCAAAGGGAGTAACTGCTACTCCCAACTGCCACACTCCCAGGTGGACGCAGAGCATCCCCACGTGCAACTGCCAGGCATCAGAGCTGTGGGTGTTCCTGCACGACACGCGTCTTCAGCTCTCCCTATCCAATTTAGGGCTTTTCAAGGAAGATGGAGGGTTCACAAGTGTTGCCCCTGTGGTTGAAAATGCTGTGCATCAAGAGACAGTCACACCGGAGCCAGCACCGAGCTGTTCTGCCACCCCAAAAAACCAGTCTCTGTCACCAGCAGCAAGGGGTGGGTGCTCTTTTCTGGATAATCACTTTTCATGGTAGAGGCAAACATGGTGAAGCAGCAAGGGAAGGACTGCTCACATGCCACAGGTGTCATTAAACAGGCAAAGACCTGGATGGCGCAGATCCTGTATCACGTAGGAGCCCCTCGTTCCCGTGAACACCAGCTCTGCAAGCGGCTAGTGCTATGGGAGCACCTCGACAGAAAGCACAAGGTCGCCCTGCAGCACAGACAGCTGGGTGAGATGCAACCAGGGAAGAGACGCCTTTTCACTGCAGACAAGCTAGCTCGGGGCAACAGGAGAGAGTGAGGCAGAGCGCTAACGTGGGTGGAAAATCGTTTAGCTAAGGAAGACTGATAAACTGGGAGCTGGACTCTCCTAAATGAAGACACAGTCATTAAGATGAGTTATTTTCAGAAGGGGATTCCTGGCCATCCTGAAACACGTGATTTCTGGCAGCAGTAGAGGCGGAAGGGATGACTGAGCACACAAAGCAAGAAAAAGAGCCCGCAAGGTGAAGGGATGCTCCCTCTGAGGGCCGGTGCCGGGCAGGAAGAGAGACGCCTGACATCTCAGGCAGAGCAGGGCTGCGAGCCCTCTGGAGACTCTTAGTCAGGAAGGTGGTAACAGGATAAAACAAGCATTAAGCCAAAAGAGCAACACAGAAGCAGGTGTTTTCCACTCCAGGGGCATGCCAAAATCCCCTGGAAAAGCATTTCCAAGAACTGCTACAAGAAGAGCAGGAGACAAACAGGAGCCTGGGCAAGCGACAGCCTTCCAGCTCTCAGGCCAAGAGCTCAGCAGTGCCAGGAGCTGCTTCAAGGCCTCATCACCAGACCCCACAGGGAATGCAGCTCCTTGTCTTGCCTTTTCCAAAGGTGAGAAACGGGTCCAGGAATCCTCTCTGCTGGGACCTTGCTCACACGCAGCAGATCAAGAGCTGCCAGTCAGGAACGAGTCGCAAGGGGATGCAATCAGTCTGAACTGTCTCAGCTCATCGTCACAGCTCAGCTCGGTGCTTACTGTGCCTGAAGCCCTCCCAGCTGTGTGCTCTGTGACGTCCCCACTCCAGGCTGGCAAACACAGGGTGGGACTTTCCACGCGTGGCAGTTGGAACCAGGCTCTGGTCTGCAACCGTAAGAGACCTTCATGGTCACATGGGAGATGGAGGCTTCGTTTTCTTCTGCTCTGCAGGTTTTGGAGAGGACCGTGTGAGCAGGACTAGCTGCTACCCACCATAACTCCGTCTGCTTCCACAAGTACCCAGTCGTGGTGACCACCACATTCCCATTCCTGAGGATCCTGTGCTGCCTGCCAGACTGACCATCAAGTCCTTCTCCATCTGGGTTGTGTTTTCCATGCGGCTCTTTTCGAAGTGACCTTCTCGTCTCCTCTGGCTATGGGCTGGAGGAAGCAGTGCCAAAAAGATGCACAGACAAGGTGGTGAAGACAGTGAGGGAAGCGAGCGGAGAGGGTGTGTTACACCAGCAGCAACGCCTGCCCAGTACTTTGGCAGAACACCTCAGTTCACCTGCTCCGACCTGCACAGCAGACCTGAGCAGCTTTAGAGCAATTCACCTCATTCAGGATGGTGGAGGATGCTCCTTCCCTGGGCAGAACACCTCAGTTCACCTGCTCTGACCTGCACAGCAGATCTGAGCAGCTTTAGAGCAATTCACCTCGTTCAGGATGGTGGAGGATGCTCCTTCCCTGCAGCCCCTGCTGTGCATTTCTCTTGCTGTTGACTTTCCTTCCTCTGTAGCAGCTCAGAGAAACGAAGACATGACTTGCCCAAGAACTGGCCAGGCTCACTCGAATCAAATCAATGAAAGGAGACAAAAATCCCAGTGCAGAGCCAGGTAAAAGCGAGGAAAAGAAAGCTCTTTGCAGAGTCTGTGGGGTACAGCAGGGATTTTGGGCAAAGCAAGTGGCATTACACCACCTCACCAGCTGGCATTAGGATCTAGCCGGGGGCAATCAGACAGGCAGAAGAGGGTGATGCAGCCCTCAGCCATCCTTAGGAAACCCGTGCCTGATGGGTTTGCGTTGTGGCATCTCTGATCTGTTCCTGTCAGTTTGCTGTGATAATGCTCTGATGCATTTAGATCCACCAAAGTTGTCTGGGGAGAGAAAGGGCTGGGGAGCCCAGATGCCTTAGAAAATCTGTCCCCAGCTGCAAGCGCTTGAATGTCCAGTCCCAAGGAAGCCTTTTGATGCTGAGAACTTGGTTTCAGCAAGGGTAGCGAAGCCCACACAGCCTTCCTTGCCTCTGAAGAGAGGCTCTTCCTTGGGCAGACCAGTACATCTGGCAGGCCACATCCCAGCAGCACAGGGGGGGAGCTAGAAGGCAGCTGGGAGGCACAGCACCCACCACGGCACGAGCCACATATGCTTCAGCGCATGAATCACTTCCTTACTGGACCATTTGCTCCATAAAAGTGTTTGCCTCCAAATCTTTGTTCTAGCCATCCCTTGGGATCATCAAAGCCTGTTCAGCCCCCATGGTTTTCAGGATTCAATAGCAGATTGAAAATGCAATAGCAGAATCGACCGATGCTGTTTACCACCAGCTGGTGCAATGCTGTGCTATTGATTTATCTGGGATGTGAAGGAATGTTTACCATTCTTTCATCTACAAAGAGAGGAATAACGATTATTTTTTAATGCTTCCCCTTCCTCCCTGTAGATAATAAGTTGCTTGCTGAAGCAAGGGCTTTCCATGGGCAACATTTAACAGATGTGTTTTGAATCCTTCCTCAGCAACCAAATGCTTGCAGCAGTAACATACCTCCTTCTGTATCCCAAAATGAGCCATATGGTTAGCAGCAGACTTTTTTTCTGATACCCTATGCAGGCCAGACACAGGTTGTTTCTAGTTATTGCCATGGACAGTCACCCAACTCTGATCACCTCTGCCCTCTGTTCCTGGACTTACAAGGGCTGGACCTACTGGCCTCACCCCCAAGAGGGTTGCCCAGAGATCAGGAAAGTGAGAGGAGATTCGGTGTTAAAAACAGCTTTCTCCACATTTAGCATTTCAGCAGGCTAACCGAGCGACCAGGCTGCTCTGATCCTGACACAGAGCATCCCTGTTATTGCAGCCTGTTTCCTTCAGCAGATGGTCCCCCACGGGAACAGTGAGCTCCCCCGACTCCGAGGAGCTCCCCTGTCCCACCTATCCCATAGGCACTGGCATGGTCCGCAGTCCCAGCTGCAGATGGATGGACATAGGGGGAGCAATCGGAGTCAGCTGGGATTACTCCCCTCGCCTAGCCAGATCCCATCCTGCTCAGCAGGGAAGGACGAGCGTGCTCATCTCCTCACCCTCCGTGACCGCAGCACTCTGCACACAACTGCCCACCCCAGAGAGGATGTGCAGGGAAACCTCCAAGCCAGGGGAAAAGCGGACGGCGATCCCATCAGCCGAAAGGATAACAAGCGGCACACCAGACTGAAAACAACGCCTTCTTCCTTCAGTCCCCCTCCGTGGCAGCCAGCTCCACTCCTGAGCAGCACAGCAGCACTCAGAGAGAGCCGGACAAGCCGCTCGCCTCCCTCCCGGGCAGCCGGCAGGGTCTCAGCCCGCCCCGAGCGCGCAGTCGGCGGCGATGGCGCAAGGCAGCGGCTGCAGCAGCCCGAGGAAGCGCAGCGCCGTGCCGGCCGTCAGACGCTGCCAGGCTGCGTGCCAGCACCAATAGCGCAGTGCCTGCCCGGAGACCACAGCTTCCCCGAGAGCTGCAGCGCCCACAGCGCAGCGCTCGTCTGCGCCAGAGACATCGCTGCCAGAATGGCAACAACGTTAACGAGTCCTGACTAATTAGCGCCTTTGTTGAACATAACCCAGCTATTCGCCAAGCTGGCTGCAATTCCATCAACATCGCCTCAACCCGCGTGAGGCCAGGGTTTGCAGCAGCAGGAGGGAGCGAGAAGGGGCTCGGCAGGGGTACGCTGCACCCACCGCCACCTATTTTGGCACCAGCTGGTTGCAGTCAGCACACTGATGGCCGCCTCCTGGATGCACAGCTCTTGCTAGAGCTCTCCATGATGGAAAAACCTGGAGGGGTGTGGGAGGGGAAAGGGCACGTGATGCAGAAATTCAGGGCACAAAACAGGCCCATCTCGGCCTGTTGGCAGCTTCAGGGCCCGTAAAGGGAAAGAGAACAGTCTAGCCGAAAGTCAGGCTCACTACTTTCACTGCAGAGCAGTGTTCCTAAGCCCGGAGGGGTGTTGTACAAACACAGCTTGCTCCTAGGAGGGACTGAGCACCCTCTTCATCCCAGGAGTCGTGCACTCTGCAGGACCAGCCTCCCTGCCCCCAGCAAAGGCGACCCCACTTTCTAAAGCGAGAGGGGGGATTTTAGCAAAATGAAACAGAGAAAGGCACCCCCCTTCGCGTGGGTCAGCATTGGAAAGGGCAGAGCTGGCAAAGCATCTCCTCTGCAGCACGTCCTGAGCAGGAATGAGGATGGCTAGGACAAATCCTGCCATGCCAGATGGGAGAAGGAGCTGCTTGGTGCCCCTTCCCCAGACACTGTCCCATCCCTCCTGCTGGTGTCCCCTCTCTGCTCCCCGGGCCAGAGGTGTCCTGGCCCCAGCAGGTGGCATTGGTGAGCTGGCAGGGAGGTGGCAGCCAGGCAGGTCCCCCAGCCTGGCTCTCCGGGCTGGCACCGGGCACAGCCCTGGGGCTGAGCCAGCTGCCTGGACACCCCCGGGGGCCGAGGCTGGTGCCAGCCCTGCCCCAGCACACCCTGCCTTTGGCCAAGGTGCGGCTCAGCAGGTGACCAACACCAATGGCAGGCCTGGCCCTCAGTTTTTTGGGCTCCTCCAGCAACAGAGGCAAGGCAATGCCTCTGCAGGAGGGCCTGGCCTCTCCGCAGCTCCGTTGCGGCACAGTTTCCAGGGTGTCCCCATCACCCAAGTCCTCATCCCCGGCTGCAGAGGGCTGCATGGATGCTGCCTGCGCTGGGAGCGAAGCATCAGGAGCCGGCGTTACCCCACCGCCTTGCCAGCTGGCTCCGCAGACCGAGATCCTCATCCAGCCCCTCTGCCACCCACCTCCGCTCGGCTCTTCTCCTTCACCTCCCATTTTCCTTTGCTCCTCCTGTTCTTCGTTGCTTCTCCTGCCGCCCCCTGCTTTCTCCTCCCCCTCTATCACACATCCTACTCCACATCTGCTCTCTCCCTCCTTCTCGCCATTTGCATGTCCTCCTCCCAGCTCCCTCCATAATGCATTTCCGCAAGATACCTCTCTCTGCATTTAATTTCTGTTTTCCTTCCACCAACCTTCCTGCCTCTTTCGGACAGGTTTGGACCTCACTTCCCCATCAAGCCTCCTCACTGCATGCACAGACTCCAAGGAGAGACACACTGGCACCAACAAACTCCCCAGACAGCCAGATGCCTCTTCCCCTGCACCTCAGGGCTCTTCCCTCTTTCTTCAACATGAGCATCTCCGTGTTGAACACCCCCCCCACCTCTAGTCCTCCCTTCGCTTATCTGAAGGGGGAAGCACCTTAGGTTTGGTGGTGGTTGACCACCCCAGGACACCTGTGCTGGGGTTGGCAAAGGACCTCTACAGCTACACCAGGCTGGATTCACACCTAGCCCTGCAGAGTCCCAGGGCTGCTACACACGGATGGGACCCAAGCTCTAAACTGAGAGCCCACCAACTCTGCAAGGGCAAGGGTGTGGGATGCCAGTGAGATAGGAAGAGGAGAAATGAAGGCCCTGCCCTGGAGGTGGCTCAGCTCAGCAGGAGAGCTGGGGTAACCCAGCCCTTCCTGCCAGAGCATGTCCACCAGAGAGGGCTCCACTCCACTCCATTCCCTTCCACCCCAGACAGAGGTGGAGAGAGCAAATCCTCTGCAATTTGACTTGAAAGCCCTGTATGACTCAGGGTCTGCTTGTCTGGAAGATCCTTCTCATCCCATGACTCAACCGTGACAAGCATGGCTCACAAACAAACCTTCTCTTGAGAGCACGTATGGATTAAATGCTCTCCTTGATGGTCCCTCAGCTCCCAGACTTGTCCCACCAATGAGTCAGAGAAGGTCCTGGTATGTGGACACCCAGGGCTCCCCGAGAGGGTGTAGCGGGACCATGGGGGAGGCTGCAGGAGTCTCTGACATGCACAGAGAACAACTGGGTTGCTCCAGCTCTAATGACTGATGGAAACGAGCAGAGCTACCACAGGACAGGGTCTACTTCATCATCTTATTTTACAGCCTGTCAGAGACTGTGCAGGCCAGAGGAGACGTGCCCTGCTTCTCCCCTTGATGGGACGACCATCATCAGTCAAATCAGAAGAGCCAAGAGGGTGGGGGGAGAGACAAGAGGAAAGGAGGGAGGCAGAACAAGTGCAGAGAGATAAAGAGAAGGAGATGGAAGCAAATATCAGAGTTTGAGCAGGAACTACCTTTCTTGGACACTTTCCTCCCCTCCTTAACTGAGCTGTGTTTTTTAGTGGCTTTATGGGTGCTGGCAGCTTGCGGCACACAGGTGAGGTGCACGGGGAGTCCAGCGGCTGACATCAGAATAGCCGTCATGCCTACAGCGGGTACGAGATCAACATGCAGGAAGGAAACAACGGGGAAACACATTCATTAAAAAAAAAACTTTAACCTTTCAAAGAAAATTTAAAAAGATAAAATAAACCAAAACCCAAGCCCTTGATTCAGAGGACATAAAACATCCGAGAGGCAGCGGGGTTGTAGTCAGCACAAGGACAGGATCCAGAGGCTTTTAGAGGGAGGAGCCCAGGCAGCAAATTAAAGCAGGGAAATATGGGCACAAGTCTCACCCGTGACCCTCTGAGCTAGTGTGTGAACAGGACCTTCCTCTTTGCCTTGGCTTTAGGGCTCCTCAGGCATTGGGTCTGCTGTGGTGCAAAGTCCTCCCACTCACCAGAGCCCTGGAAGCAGGCCTGACCCTGGGGGCCTGAAGGATGAGGGGCATCACCTGTAACCCCTAAAGGTCTTGCTCAGCTGCTCCCCCCCTAAAGCTACGTGTTTCAAAGGTGTCGCACCGAACCGAATCCACAGAGAGCAGCTTAACTGCCTTCAAACACTGCAGCAGTGCCGGGCTGACCGTGGGCTGGAGCTGCCCCACTCGATCCCCTGCCAGAAGAGCCCCATGGTGGCAGCCCCCCACTCACCCCACACCATCTCCTCCTTGGCACTCCAGTTTTTCCTAGCACCCCCAGCTGCAATGCAATTCTCACCCTCCCCCATCCCAGCCAGCTGTATTCATGGGATGCAGTTTGTTAAAGCTAATGAATCATTAAAAAGGACAGCCGTTCCCTGAAGGTAAAATTGGCACACAGAGAGCTACAGGACTGATCATGCTGATCTAATATGATGTTTGCCCATGAAATACAGGCTGGTTACAAGTCATAACATTTCTAAGGTAGCATATTGCTGTTAAACTTACATTCAAGAAAACACCTGCCTTTGCCTTCCCAAGAAATGACTTCCCCACCTGCCACAGCCACCACCAGAACTAAAAAAAAAAAAAAAAAAAAAAAAAAAAAAAAAAAAAAAAAAAAAAAAAAAAAAAAAAAAAAAAAAAAAAAAAAAAAAAAAAAAAAAAAAAAGTGCTTACGGTTGGCTTACGGTTGCAAACCGACAGCAGACAACCTAAAAGCTGACATTTCCCCAGAAGTTACCTCTGACAGTAGACCATGCAAAACCACATCCTAACACTATGGAAATTCTTGCCAGCATCCTGCTTAGTAATTCACGGCCAAAGCTGAGATTTCTAAGAATTTTCTTTTTTCAAGCCTCTATTCAGCCAGCTTGGGAAAGGAAGATATAAGAGCACATTTGTTCAGGACAAAAACGAGGTATCTTGCCCAGACATGACTGAAAGTCGAGTTATGACAGGAAGCATCAGCCAGCTTTGTGTGCGAGTGGTAAGACTATTTTCTGCCTCAAACCAGTCAAGAACCCATGCCTTGTGACTAGAATTCCCCTGCGCAAAGCCTGTGTCAATGCCCCACAAGCAGAACTACCCCCGTGCAGTGCCAACCGTGTTTTGCACCTACTTCATGCAAGGTCCAAGCACAATAAATGTTCCAGAACCTGTTCAAGTCCTTTCTTGATACACAAAGTTGGATGGCTTTACTAAAACTTTCTCATCTAAGGACCAAAAGACAGACAGAAAGGTTTCACGAGGCGGGGAGAGTGGCACAGATGGATGAACTAATTTCCCCAGGGTTACCCAAGAACCTTTGGCAGAGGTGGGCTGGCCAGAAGAGCAGGCTGCCCAACGCATGGTGAAACCACGCGCTTCCAAATGGAAATAGGTAACACCAAACCAGGCAGCCGTGGCTCACCCTCATTAGGTACCATCATTGTTGATCTAGATCTGAGGCATAGCCCCCCAGTTCCCAGGTTCTGCAGGGCCAGAGGAGGATCTTCAAAGCACACAAACACCGAGTTAGTACCCCCCACCCTACTGACAGCGCCGGGCTGTTCCCAGCAGGTACAGCCGAGGAGAGCCCCTGACATCGGTACAAGCCAGCAGGCCTCTAACTGAGCATCGGATCCAGAAATTTCACAATCAAAATAACTTCCTTTAAGTCTTGAACTAAAGACTGCAAGACTATTGCGTGCTCTCAACCCTGGTCTAAGCCAGCAGTCCTTCACTACTCCCAGGGAGCCTTAAGCAGCAGCTTAAGTGTTCCCATAACAAAAGCTACTTGTTTTTTGAGCGAGTGAGTACAATGGAACACCTGAAGCCCAGCAACAGCACCAAAGCTGCCGCCTGCACGTGCACCAGGCAGGTACTTTCCCCTTTCAGCAGGTTGAAGGACAGTCGGAGGTATTCCCAGAAGAGCAGTACCAACTCGCACTGATTAGAGAGCCTGGAGGAACAATATTCCCAAGAAACAGGCAAGGTGCTGGACCTCCCCACGGCTAGGGAAGATCATCTCAGACAACCTGACCCCACTGAGGCTGCAGAAAAGGAAACGGTAAAGTTGTCTCCAAAAAAACCTGCTTCTAAGCGGTGCGATCACACTGATTGCAGAGACTGACATTTGAAAAGCAAGTCCAAAGACTAACAGGGATTATCACCACCTACGCGCAGCTGACTGATAGGGAAATGCAAAATTAATGCTTTCTTCTTAAGAGAGCAATACTGTCTTGCTAACATTAACATGCAGAGCCCATTTAAAAAAAGAACATGACAAGCAGAGGCTGAACAACTGACTTCAGACTCTTAATGTCGGAGAACAAAACGGTCTGATTTCTGAAGGCAACAAGTGAGGAGCATGAGCCACAGAACCTCAGCTGAGTTCAGTTACCCTCTGACACAGTCCCTGTCATACCTGGAATAACATGTCCAAAACTGCCTGCCAGCATCATGAATTGTCACAAAGAAAATAAACATTTATTCCAGGAACTAACTTTCTTTTGTTTCATGAGCTGCAAACGCATCTACAACTCCACGCAGACATACAGCACAGGGCAAACGTGGTTCCAGGAGAATTACCCCCAACCAAATGTTCTCCCACGGACAATCTTAAACCGGCCAAGAAAAGGTAATTTTCCACTTTTACCTTCTGCTGCCTTCGGAGAGACACACAATGAATCATCTTCTGCAGATTCAAATCAAGAGAGCATTCAAAAAGGGGCTGTTCTGGTGTTACGTTGCTCTTCTGGCTCATCTCAAAACCCAGCAGCAATACCTCCTTTAAAGCTCTAATACAATACTGAAAATCTCAGCATCTAACAATCCTCCCACAAGTTTGGTGACAAGAGTCCCCAGTAAGGGGTCTCCTGTGACCCAAGCCTTACGTGGGAGCGTGTGTTCATAGAAAGTGCCAAAACAATACACAGACACACATCACATCTGCAGATCGATCCTCCAATTCTCACCTGTGGACACAACAATTTCAATTCAAACTCATTGTAGGCATCTGTGGAGTTATGTCAGGAGCAAATCTGGCCCTGGACCCAGGTAAATTCTCACCTGAAGACGCAAGGGCCAAGCTGCAACAGGGTAAGCTTGCCCAGACCGAGACTGCTTTGGATGCCCATGCGTTGCTGCAAGGGTTCCTGCTGCTCCCTAGCTACCCCAGGAGCTTGAAAAATATTAATGAATATGTTCACACTTTCCACTGGCCACTGGGTTTCTTCCCGCAAGGACTGCAGGAGGGAAGAGACAGAAAGCCTTGCAAAGCATCCTTCGGCATCTGATCCGATCCTACGAATGTGTGCAATAAGCACACTCAGAGAACTGCCTCTTTTCTCTTGCTCAAAGCATCTATTTGGCCAGAAGTACAACGTCACTGACTCCTTGGGGTAAAACTATTTTCACTGGAGCTATGACAACATCCACTGGCTTTTCTCAGCCTGCCATGTAAATAAGGCACTTTTGTAATATCCTGTGCAGAAGCTGAGCATGGGGAAAACACCCTTACCTAATGTAATGAGCGCTGACCACATGCTTGCTCACATAGCGTAACATGCCCCTCCGGTCACCGGCTCCGGCTCCTGATCTGTATTTGCACAGACCTCAGACTGGTATGCCTTTGGTTCCAGTCCTGGATTTAAGCAGGTAGAGGGGAAAGGGCAGAGCTTGCCTTTAAATAACGTGAGATCTCAGAGAAGCACTGCTAATTTGTACAATTACATCCACCAGCAAAATTACTATGGTTGGTATGCTCCCAAATGCCCCAGTTCTAGGAATCCTGCAAACGAGAAACACCCAGTTTCATTTAACAAAAAGCTAATTCCCAGCCTTCACCTTAAAAATAGTATTACAAGGGCCTTCATATGACCGCCTAGTCCACCCCCCAGCCCCAAGGCACACAGCTAAACTACATTATCCCCAAGCGATGTTAGTCCAGCTGATCCGTAAACACCAACACCATGGTTCAACAGTTTGCTCAGACCTCTGGTCTGGCATTTCACCATACTAACCAAATACTGAGGGGGAAAGAAAAAGCTTAAAAGCCAAGTTTCCACATGCACCTTGAAGTATTAAAATAGCAGAAAGCAAGGAAAAAGAATTTTCTTCTTTGTACAAAACTTGATTTTAAAGTCAGCTTCATGATTTCTGGGATCCCGAGTGGTGCTTTTGGAAGACGTGGGGTTGACAGTGTTACAAATCCCTCACTCAAATCCCCAGGCGCTCATCAGACAAACAAAACCCAGCTTCTCATTCAGACCCACAGGATCCCCTGTCTCCTGTTTATCCACCAGAAATTCCCTCTGCATCCAAGAGAGGCACCTGCAGCATTTCTCGAAATCGCCTGCAAGATTCAGAGGTTTTATTTCTCCTGCGTCAAACCAGAGCCAAAGCGGCTGAGAGGCACCTCGGGATGGAGACCAAGGATTGCGAGACTTCTGGACACGTTTCCCAGAATAAAACCTTCTTCAGTTCCTATCTGAGGCTGCCCTCTCCCCCACGTCATCACGGAACCCTTGGGTCCTCAGCCTTTCCACCACTGATGCTGAAGGAAGCAGTCGTGCAGCGGGGACCGGAGGAACAAAAGGGGCCCAGCCTGTGTGTTAGAGAATAACCTGAATAATAAGTAACTCAAACACCATCTGCAGGATTTTAAATATGAGCAAAATACCACTTCCCAGAAGAGGTCCTAGAAACAGAGCGCAGAGCGCAGAGGGGAAGAAGGTGTCCCTAAAGACCCAGCCAATTAACCTTTCGATAAAATTTGGCCTTTTTACCAGAACTCCGCTGCTTACTTTTTACCAGAAATGTTCCCAGAGATTTATTTTCCTTTCACTTGCTAATTAACTGCCCAGATCTTTCCTCTGCTTCTATGCGATTTTAAGGACAGACTCAAATTCAGATTTTTCTCCTCCCTTGCATCTCTCAGGTCTGTCACATTTGGCAGAAGGCAGCACAGCGCCGATCAAAGCTGTGTTCTACAAAGACCTGGATCTGAAGGAGACGCTGGCCCCAGGGACTTGCTTCTGTGCTGACCACACTCAGCGCAGCCCATGCAGCTCTGCACTCCCCTGCAACTCAGCCTGCTTCTTGCTAGATGCCTCGTGGAGAGCTGAAGATTATTAAAATGAATAATTATTCCCTCTTTCGAACCCCCAGTCTCCAACAACAGAGATATCAATTAAAAACTTAACCGTTTCATTTTATTTTATTATAATGGTGGTAAATAGCTTACTCTACTGAGCTCTCCTGCAGCCTTTTATACCTAAATGTTGCACTACAAGGCATAGATGGACCATGTGTATTCACCTCTTCCAAATTAACAGTGGATGACTTGCACGTGTAGAATGAGATCACTGTTAACAACATTAACACAGCCTGGATTCACCAGGGCTCTTCAGTTCTTTGCTGTCTTTACCTTTATGTGATTAAGTACCTAAATACACAGTCAGTGCTAATAGCCAGGGGATGAAATTCAGAGCTTTTATAAGCAAGGGGAGTTGTTCTGCTCAGGTCATCCACCTAGACGAGGTCTGAGCTTGACTTTACACCTCATTTCCACAAAGACTGATTTGCTAACAGGGATACAGATGGGCTGCTCACTGTCAGAGGACACCCAATATTAGTTACACAGTGCCTGTTTGGCTATAGAGACACGCAAGGCACAGTTTTCATGATGGTACTAACGTCAGACAACTGGAAACATCAATCCCAGGGATCATTTTTAGGCAGGGTAAGGCCTGACACTCGTGAGGAGACCAAACACCATCACCTTTCCTGGAATAAGGTGGTAACCATTTTCTATAGGAGCGAGAACATAACTGTACATGCTTAGGAGCAAAGTTCCGTGTCCACGGAGCTAATAACCTCAACAGACCATGCATGGACAAGAGCCAGAGGAAGGAGAGGGTTAATAGATATTCTGTAGTGCCTGAAATGGGTACAGAAGACCCCAGAAAATACCATACACCAGGTCTTTTCCACTCCTCTACCCCGGGTTACCACATTACGATACGATTTCGAGTACACAGCCGGTGTCGGTACGGAGAAGACATCTGCTCTCGGCAGAACACCCATCTCCCCAGGCACCACCACACCAGGGTCCCGCAGTTTGGCGCTGGCTGAGTCAAAACAGAGCAAACGCGCCGACGGTTTTTGGCATGGAAATGCTTCCACTGAAAGCTGCAAGTGCGAGTTGTCGTTTTCAAGGCAACGCCATTTCATGTTTAACAGGCAAATCTACTCTGAAAAGGAGCACTGAAAGCTGGCACTTTCATCCCTCCCAGACACACTCCTCGGGTATATTTAGTATCGTATTCACAGGTTTGGATGATAACAAGCAAACCTGTATTCTGCTGCCACAGGAGACAATGTCTGATTCAACTTCTGTCCCCTCCTGTCCCCAAGACAAGGCATCACAATCATTTTTTAAGCTAAAGACCACCTGAGCTTTTGTAATAAAACCACATTAAAAAAAAAAATCACATTAAAAACCACACACCATCTCACACCACTCTTCCCCCTTGACTTCAAGAAAAGCACTGAGCTTGATCCATGTGCTCCCCCCCTGCTACTTGCTCATCCACACCTACAGGAGAAGATGAATACCCAACCCCCAAATAAACCCACTTATTTTGAGAGCCTCGGGACCAGCACCAATGAGAAAAACAGTTACTAAGGTTTGACCATCCCATTCTCCCCCAAATTTGCCCTCTTTGCCTTTCTGAAAAGTCTTTGGGCCTAAAACCCTAAATGCCAGCGACATTTCAGACTCTTCCTAAAAACTAACAAAGGAAAGTAAGTGCCACGGAAAGGTAAACTGCTTGCTCGTGTAACCCTAGGGACAGAGCGGGATCCTTACCTGCCAGGGCCTGGTTCACCTTGCTGGGTTTGGGCATCTTGACTGGCAGGTTTGGGGCGCTGGAGAGAGAAAAGAAAAAGGGACAAGTTCAACAGCACGGATCAATCACTAACAAAACAGAGACAATTCGGCAGTGCACTGTTCCCTCCCGAGTGCCAGGGCCCCGGATACGTTAACAGGGATTAATTGCTCAGATGAGCCCCATGTGGGACCCCAACCCATGCACCCTTCTTTGCCCACTGGTCCAGCAGCTACATTTAAGGAGCCCAGTCCTTGCCAGAGCTATCTCGTAGGTTTACTTATCTCCAAGGTGGACCTCAGACCTATGTTGTAGGTAGCTGTCTCCAGCCCCATCTCCTCCTGGCTGGGTGCTGGGCCTGACTCATCCCTTCCTCTTGCTGGGGCCTGTTGGTGGACCCTGTTGTCAACCCCCTTCTCTGATCCCGCGATGCATCCCCGCTCTTGCTGCTCCACCACAGAGCTTCCTGCGAGCAGCCGACCTGCACTACAACAGACTGCTGCACCAGCAGGACTGCGGCATGAGCACACAGCCAGGAACCGCCGGGATGCAGCAGACAAAGTTCATCTTAAACCTTCCAGGTGACTTGGTCTCCAGCCAGAGAAACACTGCTCACCGGAGCGTGAACCCCCATGCTGTATGAAAAGTTGCAGCTGTACAGATCAAAGGAAGCAAGTGTTATCACCCCCACTGCTTTCCAGATGGGGAAACTGCGGCAGAGAAAGGCCAAGAAAAGCGCTTGAGCACACACAGCTGCAGCCCTGGGTTGAACAGAATCAAGCCTTGACTCTCCTTGTGCATCCAAGGGGTTACTGCAAGATGTGGGAACAAGGGAGGAAAGGTTGAAGGAGACTTAGAAGAGTTTGGCACCCACCTTCCTTTGGCAATCAAGAGGATTTGGACACCAAACATCCCCTTCAGCTTCCTAACCTACTTGTTTTGGCAGCGTTTCTCAGCACTGGCAGCTGCACCTCAAGCTAGTTTGGTATACATGGGCAGCCAACGTCATGCAGTTAGCTGACGGCAGGAGTTAGGAAGGGAAGGGTGAGCAGCAGCATGAAAGCCAATGAGGGGGTCACTAGAGGAGAAAGCAAGCTGGATCCACATGAGCAGAGCAGGAACATTTGAAATCCAACATGCTGGCACAGAGAAGCCACCCATGGCCTTTGTCTCAGGTGGCACATGTACCTGGGATGGATGCAGGCTCATGCGCATCAGCTGCAGTTAACACACAGTGCATTCAGACAACCATCTCCAAGGACTCCCCAAAATTACCTCAAACCTGGCCAGCTTCTTAGGAATTCACAGAGCAGACTAAGGTGGCCAAGTGCCCAAATGCCATCCACTATCTAGGGGGAATCTAATTCTCTCCAGCTGGGATGGAAGCGATGCCACTGTGCCCAAAATAGCACCACAGACAGAGGTCCCTCCTTCCAGCCTTGCTAAAATCTTTGTCCACATTTCCATGACAATGACCAGAGCTGAAAAGATTTGGGAGCGACACATGCCTGTCTTCTACCCTGACAACAGGGACACATCCCCACCTCCCTCTTCTCCTACCTGCCGCAGTTTGAAATAGGTTCCCACATGCGCGCAGAGCTCCCTGAAGAAACCCCCGGGCAGGACCCAGGGCTTGGCGCTGAGCTGACAGCCTGGCCAAACGATTCCAGCTCTTCCAGACCCTTAAGAAGCTCTCCAGACCACAGAGGTTTCCCTTCTCTCTCTTTCAAAGACTGTTTTCTCCTCTGCTGCCCCCAAGTTTGCAAGGTCTTCAAATGATGCAACAGATTGTTCTCGCTACAGCCCAATTCAAACCCACCGAATACAGAGGAAATCCTCCCCTGAATTTGAAAGGGCTTTGAATCAGATGCTGTGACTCCTCTTTATGACTTTTTTCTTTCCTGATTCAGCCTCTTCATCACAGCTTTCTCAGGTATTTCCCTCCTCCTTCTGTATCTCATCCCTTTGCTCCATTTCTGCTCCTATGATCCTCTTCAGATGATGGCTAGTAGCAGGGCTGCTCCCTCTCCAGCTGCAGACAAGGAGGGTATTTGAGGACCAGATAAAAAAAAAGGAACTTGAGAGACCCGCCCCCAAAAATCAGAGGCATTGGACCTCCCCTCCTTCCCTCTTCCAACTGAGCAGCACAGAAGACGACACGGTGCCTGGGCACCCCCTCCACCCAGTCTCTGATGCTGCATGTGATGAAACTGAAGAGCTTGTGCTTCATCGTCAAACCATGAAGCGCAGCAGCCACCTTGGGTGCTTTCACTTCCCCCTGGAAGGTAAAAATATAGCAGAGCACAAAGCTGAACCTTCAGCTCTGCCAGGAAAGCCGATGGGCAGCGGGGGATCCTTCCAAAGGGCTGGAGCACAGGGTCATTACACCTGAGGTTGAAGAAGGCAAACCCAGGGCTGCTCGGGGAAGGGAATCACTGGTGACAACGCTTCGAGAAGACTGGGAGAGAAATTCCTCACTCTTCCTTCCTGCATTGCAAGGCTCAAGTCCAAGTCACCCAGGAGCTAGAGCTTCTATGGAGAAGAGCCCTTGAGATTTGCAGAGGGAAACGGATAAGCAATTGATGCATTTTGCAAGCAATCAAGTTTTGGAAGCTGCGAGCGTACTGCAGATAAATCACTATCCATCAGCCAGGAAACAGTCGCTGGTCAGCTGCGCTCCTGGTGTAAAGGCAAAGCGTGTCAGCTTTGACTGCTGGAGGCTTTAAGCCAACTGATGTGATGATGGAGGAACCAAATACTTCTTATTTCACACGGGCTAAACACACGCACATTCAGATAGCAGCATCTCAGCTAACAATGCTGTAGGATGTGCTGACCCATCCGCTCGACGCCGTGTGAGCGTACCGGCAGGGCTGCCATGCACTGTGACTGCTTTTACATCTGCAGAAAGCCCAGACATGAGGCTGATGAAGTCACGGGAAATCCATGCTGCTTTGAGGTACCTCTGCCACAACACTGCCTGGGTAGACTTGCAGCCACAGTGTGTGGGAGGAAATGTTGCCACGCCAAAAAAGACGCAGAAACACTGCTCAAGCCTACCCTGGGTCTGAAGTGGGTTTTTTTGGAGGAGGAAGGGGAAGAGGTAACAAGGAAGGATATTGCTATTGTGGTATAACACGGGCTGTGTCTCGACTCCGAGAGCAGGCTTGCCAGCAGCACCAACAGACATATTTAGTCCATCAGCTCAGACTCAAGCCACTCCAGTATCACCATACCAGCACTGGCTTCTTGGGAGAGAGCCGGAGCCAGGCTGGGGTGAGGTCCTGGAATTTTGTCCTGCCATTCACTGCAGCTCCTGCTCTCCTGCTGCTCTGTACACCGGAGGTGACTGAGTGCAGCAGGGGTCACCAGGTTGTGAAGAAAGGGACACAAAATAAGACACTAACCTCTAAGATTTGGGAAGAAGATCCTGATAAGATTTGCCATCACTGGTTCCCATAAGCAGAGTGTGGCAATTCGCTATAGGAGGCAGACGGGGCAGGCTGATATTTCACCATGACAAAACCACTCGCTTCTCCAGAATTTCAAGATACTGCAACACCAGTGAGACAGCAAAGCACAAGACCGGAGAGGAAGCGCGGCGCCTGTGGCTGCTGCCATTTCAAACACTGGGTGGCCAGGTTTGAGCTGAACATCACCTAAGCCGCACGTACACAACATCCTAACGGAGCAGAAACAGGGAAGTCTGTAGCAACTCACCCTCCCCACCTGACACGGCCCTTTCTTCCTTCCTCTCACCCTGCACACCAGCCAGCAGGCCACATATTTCTGTATCACAGCATCTTTGTAGCCCTCCGGACAACAGCCAACTCTTCTCCTCCCAGATCAGGGCTGCATCCAGCCCTGCCTCACATTAACACCGAGTGCTACCGCAACACCCAAAGGTCTAACCCCCTTCCCAGGGCTAACCGAGTGTACCATGATACTAACGACCACACAGCAGTTTCTCCTCTACCTTTCTTCTCAAGACGATGCCAAAACCCAGACCAAATCCCTCTAAAGGAGGACCTTTTGGTGCGTTGCACGCAGCCACGTGGATCCGTGGTTTCGCTCCTGGCACCGAGCAGAGGACATTCCCCTGCTCCCGCTCGGGAAGAGCGCCCAGCGGCAGAACCGCGCCGGCAGGACAAGTCACAATGGGCCCAGCGGAACCAGCACCAAGTAGAGCCCTGCCTCGCCACCCACGAGGAGCTCATGGGTGTGCCTACGGACAAAGCGGCTGAAATATGCAAAGGAGGAGAGAGAAAGGCAAAGGCCCTGCCCAGGTTCTGGTCCCTCGATTACACCTCCTGATCCTACAAAGAATGGGTCATTCCTCATGGGAGATTTGGGGGCGCAGCACCAGACCCTAGGAACACCACGATACTATAAAGCATCCTTCCCCAGTCCCCAAGACTCCCGTTCCCCACACTTTTAAACAAAATCCTCCCCCCCCGGAGCCGCCTGCCTTATTTGCAGGCTAGACAGGCACCCAAAGCCGCATAAGCTCAGAGGGGCCAGCAGAGCTACAGCAGGGATTTGCCTGGCTGGGGCACTAATTAATATATCCCCGAGAAGATTGCTTCCTGCAGCTTTACTTGCTCATATTACAAGCAGGGCACTCCTCACCGCATTTTGGGAGTGTCCTTCTCTGTAATTAGCCAGCACAGCGCAGGGAGCGGGGCAGCTCACACCCCAGTGACAGACGCTTTCCCACATCGGGTGGGAAGGATCACGCGTGGCTGGGAGCCTGGGGAGCTGCACGCAGCAAGGTGCTGACCCCGGCTTCACAGATGCAGTTAACGGCGCTGATATAAGGACACGACCCTTGCTGCGGCACGCTCCATCTGCAGGCTTCAGTGCCGTCTGCGAGGGAGGCTGGATTCACTAACTGTGCTTCATAGACGGGAGGAAAATAATGCACCAAGGAGCAAAATAACTTGCCCACATGTATTTAACACATTAGCAGCAGAGCCAAGGATATTAACATCTCTTTAAGCCTTGGCACTCCCCTCTGGGTTTTCCACTGACTTTGACCCTCTTGAGAGCATGGGGAACTTAAACCTGTGTTTTGAAGTGCCTGAGCTCCACCCTCTCTTCGCACCAGCATCCACCCTCCAGCCCCACAGCAAGCAGGAAATATATTTAATCCCCGCCAATGCCACAAAAGCTCAGGCATGCCTGTGCTACTAACAGCCCGTACTGGGGGCTATTCCTGCCTGCGTATTAGAAATAACTGTCACAGCCACACAGGGAGTTAGGCACCTTTCCAGGACAAGCTACACCTCTTTCTCAGCCCTGCAGGAGAGATGTTTTCTTCCGTACTGCCATTTTTAGCTGTGTTTCCTAAAGAAACTGGGTGTACACAACTACACCGTCTTTCAGTCTCTCCCTAACAGTTTTTGAGCCCTTCTGCCAGATGCAGCTCAGCTCCAAGAGGCAGGAGCTGGGTCATCCCTGCAAGCTTTGTGAAGATAAGCAGTTTTGCAAAAGCAAGTAATCTGCCAGGGCTGCTCTGGAGCCAAAGGCTGTGGGGTGAACACAACACAAACTTTATTAGACACCAGAGGATCCACTGTGGCCTGCTGCTCCCTTCCCTTCAGCCTCTGAGCACGGGCCAGCACAGGAATTGCAATTGCTAAGAGGAACGAGCAATGCTGCATGCTGGATGCAGACAGAAACCCTTGATGGGCTAATTAGTGCAGGATAATTAGCACTTCATCTTCACCACCACAAAGGCCACGTTATTCAGTGATGCAGGAGGAGACAGGCAGCGACTGCAAGGGAAGGGGTACTAACCACCACGCCACGCCGAGGGGGGAAGACGGGGAACCTAGGGGATAAAGTAGCCCAGGAATGTTTTGGGCTTAGGAATTAATGAAACACATTGTTAGAGTTTGCTACTCAGGTTTCCCCTAATTCACAGAAATTAGAGTATTTTCTGCTGGAACATGAGTTTCACGAGCCTGAGACTGTAACCCCAACCAGGAGCAATTACACCCACCCAGCGGCATTTCCGACTCAAACCCAGTGCAGGAGTGACAGGGGAAAAGCCATCTCGATCTGTCAGCTGGTGCTCAAAAAGTCCCTTTCACACACGGCACTATGCTGGAAGACAGAGATTGCCCCTCCGCGTGCGTTTGTCTGTCTGGCAGGGAGGAAGGAGGGTGCCCCTGGCAAAACTAATCCCAAAGGACTGGAGAGCCAGACATCGTCCATCATCCATGAAAAGTCACCAACGCATATCTTCATTGTGCCCTTCTCCGGGGTCCGTTTGGGTGAGCCCCCAGCTGCTGCCTCCCTCCGGGCTCAGCGCACGGCCACGGGCTGGATCTGCCATCCACGTGTGCTCCTGCGGGGGGTATGGAAAACAGAGGCTTCCACAGATACATCTAGTGGAAAACACCGGTGTTAATGAACAGAAAGGGAGTTGTAGAGATAAAGACAGTTTCTAATGTCCTGCCTGCAAAACCACCTCCCAGACAAGCCCTGTAGCCAGGCGAGTGCCCAGCAGCATCCCCATGTCTGAGCCAGGCTCGGGTCCTGCCAAGGGTTCATGTCAGACTTGCCACGGCAAGCACCGGCAGCACACCCGTGCTCAGGGCATGCTCGCACCCCAGCAGGGACAGACAGCCGGCAGCCAGGAGAGCGGGGACCAAGGCTCACAGCTGGGGGTGCAGGGTTTGCACAGAGGGTGCCTGTCACACAAGTCTGCTAGCACTCACACGCTCCCTTCCAAGCATCTAAAGAGCTGCCGCCTTCCCTGCGTGGCACGTTCTGCTGTCCCCAGCAAAGATTTAACCGTACAATCCCTTCGCATCCCCCAGAAAGGCTGGCTTGGCCAGGGATTTATTGCCAAGATACCAGCCACCTCACCCCTTGCACACCACGAACAGCTGAGCTGCAAAACAGGTTGCAACAGCCAGACCTCAAGCAGCCACGGCATTGCTCATCCACAGCCAATGCCGCCACCAGTACCGCAGCAGTCCCCGCGCTCCGGGAGGGCTCTGCCCTCTGCTGCTGTCCCTGGGCTGGCCGTTGTGGAGGGGACCAGATGCTCCTGCCACAAAAGCCACCTTCAGCAGCACTCGAGAAGGGACCGAGCTGGAGCAGCTGAGCGGGGAGCATACGCCAACCCCAGATGGCTGCTGCATTAACCCAGCACAAGCTCTGCCAGCACTTGCCTGTCAGAGGGTTTAACCAGCCACCGAGAGCTGCCCGCTGCCCCAGCAGCTCCCGGGACCCAGCCCAGCAGGCTGCCAGAACAACGCCCTCCCCAGCTGCCCTGGCTGGGCATCCACAGATCTCCTCCTGGCTGTCCCTCTCCTCCTAGCCAGCATCACCCGGGTTGTGGGCTCAGTTCAACAGCAAGGATCCTGTGCCACCCCTCTAACATCTGTCTCCCATCCTCCCTCCTTTCAGGACAGCCTGTCCCCCCACCAGTAGCACACAACACACCCAGACACTGATCGGCTCCAGACAGGCTTGCAGGGCAACGGCTGCAGCATTTGGCTTTTTGTTTTTATCAGCAATTCCCACCCCGAGAGTCACTTTGCAAATCACGCTGAGGCTCTGGGGAAGGACACGGGCTCCAGGCAGCCCCACACACCAACCAGCGGCTCCTGCGAGAGGGGGAAATTTGGTAGCTTCTACAGGAGACTGCAAAAAAGCCTTACTCGGGGCTCCTGCAGGCAGTACTTAGCTCTGGTTCTCAGCCCTATTCAAAGGTGACTGGAACAGAGAAGTATTGTGGATGCTTAAGACGCCACAAAAAATCACCAGGTGCAAAGAAAGCACCAGAAAAAGACCGTGAGAAAGAAGAACAGGATACGGGAAGTCATTTCACTCAGATGACCCCGAAGAGGGAAAGTCCTGATACGACACTAAGGAAAATATCTGAAGATTCACCGTCTTGCTTAAAATAACAAACGAGATTCAAAATAAACCTCAAACCCCTGTGCCTCATGTAATTAGCAGAATGTGCTTTCAACACCCTTCTAGATCTCTTATCTCTGTATTTACTCGGGGTAGCTTGGACAGGTAAATCAGCCCTGGCAAGTTCCCCTTTAGTTTCTCAGGTGCTCACACAGCGGTTCAGCACCTGGATTATTTGTGGTGAAAGGCGTATACTGCTCCGTACGGTTCTAGCAGTTTACAGATGGAGGGAGCAGTCAGACAGCCCTTGCTTGGTCCTCAGTTTAATGCTGGGAGATGCTCGGTGCAAGTATTCTCACCAGACAGGCCACAAAGACCTCTGCTAGCAAAGGCTTGTGCACAGAAAGAGTTAAGACCCTGAAAGCCGATGAGTGGTGATCCGGCTTGGTTTGGGTGTCCACGCTTCACAAAGGCCATCCTACAAGAATGCTGAGGGAAGTGCCCCACTTTGCAAGGGTGACACTGATTTCCCCCAGCCCCAAAATCCCCGCTGGAGCCCAGTACCACAGCCCCGCTCCAGCCCACGGGGGACAACCGACCGCAGCTTGGCCCAGCAGCCCACGCTGTGGAGAGGAGCCGAGCTGTCAGCCCATGAAACTCTGCTTTTCATTTAGCTGGCAACAGCCGAAGGGCCTGAAGAGAAGCGAAGCCCTTCCTCCCACACCGGCAAGGTGCAAACACAGCCCTCCTTCGGCTCCAGCCACTCACTGACGGGAGCTGAAATCCTGTGCTGCGAGATGCACACCAGTTTCAGCCGTCAGAGAAGGGCCACAGTGAAAATGGATCAGCAGCCAGCACGGGTGACCCATCCATACAAGCTGGAGCATTCGAGGGGTGACAGCTCAAAGAGCCGAGGAAAGCGAGACCTCAGCTAGCAACAACTGCCAGTCCTTCCTTCCAAGTATCTAGCTCCCTCCAGAGAGCCAGAGCCCACCCTAAGCACCCAGCCAGGAGAGGGTCACTGAAGAGAGATGAAGGGAAAGGACATGGCAAACAACCCTCACAAGACGAGGCTTAGCCAGATTTTAAATCGCTTACAGTCCTGCTTGTGCTTCCAGTCCTCCGACATCACAACAGTGAAGCCCCACAGCACCTCAACACGTGCAAAATGAACCTCTTCTGCGATTGTCCAGTGGCATCTCTGCTCTGCATCAGCGTCTAGCCTGACAAATAGCCTGGACACCACTCAAATTGCTAGTGTCACCCCACTGATTTCAGATAGAGAGGGATCAATATGGTTCAAGGTATCAAAGGAAGGGGAAAGTAAAGTACTGATTTGGTTTTCTAAACATCTTCACAATGGATTTAAAAAATCCTTGATGAAGTCTGTGTCTTAGGGTTGGTTTTTTTTCTGCTTGTTCACCTTTAAAAATGTCCAACATGGACTTCCTGATTTTGTCAGAGAACTCACAAGGTCTCAGCCACACGCAGTGAGTCCTGTGGTCCCTCCTGGAAGGTGAAGAGCTTTGAACACAGAGCAGTTTTCCACTCTATGTTTACTTCATATTTCAAATTTAATAAGGGTGTTCACAAGTCCCCTTTTCATTCACTCAGTCTCCCTCAAAGTTGTTTTTAAGTGTAACCAGAAATGCCACCAATCACCTTTAATTTCCTCAACTGCAGTATCTCAACCTGACTGCTTTCTCCCGTTGTTTCAGGGAGACTCGTAGACAGGGACTAGATTTCAAGTGGGAGAAAAGAAGGGAAAAGCAGAGGAGAAGCCTTCTCATCCACTGTACCAGACACAAAGGCACAAACACACCTCTCACTCTAGGGAGAAGACCCTTGTAAAGTCTTCTGGGACAAAGAGACTCCTAGATAACAAAGGCCTGAGCACAGCAGGCCTCTCAGACACATGCACAGTATTTAAAGGTGAATTATGGTTGTACCTGACTCCATTAGATGCAGACAGTCCTGTGCTGGGGCCCCCAGCTTGAGGCAAAGCCCAGGTGCTCTGTGCATTGAGTCTCAGTGTTGACCTCGCTCCAGACAAAGTCGGTTTGTTATAGGGCACGAAGCCGACGTTGGAAGAACTTACTGACGCTGTCCTACTGGAAACCTGATGAGTAGCGGATGAGTTGGGAAAGTTTATCATGGAATGCCGGTAGCGCGTGGTGATGGGACCAGTCCCACCATTTAGCCAGCATTGCTGGCAGGAACAAGCCACCCCCGTGTGAAGGGGCGCCGGGGAGGCTGTCACCGGGTACGGGGCGTCCAAGCGCCTCTGAATGCCGCGGCGGAACCTTGTGGTCTTGTTGGTCTGGACTTGAGCCACAAAGTCAACTTCATAGTTGTAGCCCAAGGGTCCAAGATCTACTCGCTGGTGGTTCGTGGCACGGGCTTGCTCCAGGAACACGCAGACGTTCATCTCGTAGGGGGACCACCCGCCTTCATCATTCTGCCACTCCCAGACGATGCCCTGCCCGGCGGCAGAGTCCCCGGGGAAGAGGTGCCTGCGGACGGCCCGCATCGTCCCTGCGTGGGGAGGGGGGTGGGGGGAAAAAAAAAAATCATTTTGTGAGCAGAGAAGTAAGGGGGACCTGGTCTCAGGGACTTGTTTCTGCACAGATCTGTGGTGTCTACATCGGGATGGCCTTCCTCACCTCTCCCTCGGCAGGGGCACTAACAGACTTTCTCTTCCCGACAGGGCTGGGTTTGCTCATGAAGCTTAGAGAAATGCAATACCCCCGAGATCCCTGTCCCTCTGCCAAATCTGACCGCGGGCTGGCAACAGGTTCAAAAGCTGCTGGGAGGAAGGGTGGGAAAGGAGGGAAGGTGAGAGAGGATGCAGAGACAGACACACCCAAGCACAAAGGCACAGCGATCACATACGCCTCCCTGACGTTAAAAAAAAAAGTAAAAAAAAAAAAAAATCAGGCTGAGGCACAGATCTGGTTAAAAAAAAACAACTCCCACAGCCTTGACAACAGAGTAACTATAGAGACATGACACCATCGGGAAGTGCTTTGCAGAAGCGCTTAAGGGGCTAAACACCCACTTTGCTACTCAAGGGTCTGGGCAATTTTGCTCTTGGGGGAGAGGATGAAGTCTCACAAGGGCAAGGACGAGGACTTTGGAGAGGACAGACAGGGCCAGCTTCTCCAGGCTCCTGACTGCTGGGAGATATAGCAAGACTAGAGATGAGAAGACAACGAAGTAATTTGGAAACTGGAGAGAGCAGCTGTTCAGACAAAGGAAGAGAAATGAAAGCAGACACGCTGCTCTTGCAAGGCCGCTTGACAGCAACAGCAGGAGCTCGAAACCCCCTAGAAGCCTGGTTCTCCAGGGTGACTTCACTCCTGGTTACTTTACTCCTTTCTTTACAAAAGAAAAAGCCTAATGAGAGGGAGGTAAGCCACCCAACAGGACAGAAGCTCTGCAACCTCTGCAAAAACAGGTTCCTGCAGCAGGGTCAAGACTGCTGCTGCTGGGAAAATCCTTCGCAGCACTCCGCACTGAGAAAGGGGAGCGGGAAACGCTGCGGGGCAAGCAAATCTGGGGATGCAGGCAGATGGGAGTGAACAGGGATGCAGCGAGTCGTTATGACACAGGAGGAGTTCAGAGAAGAATAGCACCAAGAGGCAAAAAAAATAAAATAAAGCCTCCTAAGAGGTCATGAGAGTTATGACCCTAAGCTCCAGGACCACAGGTAAACAGTATCCGCACCTAAAGCCTGTGGAGAACTGCCCCAGGATATTGCTGGTGGCTCCGTGGGGGACAGGCAGTCCAAGCAAGCTTTACACCCAACAAGCACACCCCAAGTAAGAGGGAGGAGAGCCCACGTGGGACTCCACACTGCCAAAACCCAATTGCTACCTGTGTTCAGGCTCTGGCTGCCTGAATGCTGGCCCGAGTATCTCTGCCTCACACTGCTGTCCTTGCTACCCCATAGTATTGGGATACTGCGGAAACTACTAGGACTTGACTCAAACCGTAAGGGCATTAACTGCCTCCTCACTGCTAAAAATTCGGCTCGACAGCATGAAAGTCACATCTCTGCTCCTATCACACTCCTGGGCTTCTTTGTAAATGGTGCTGGTGGTTTCTGCACAGCGCTTTGGCGGTCAGACCGTAACGAGACCCTGTGCTGGGGCACAGGTATGTCCCACGTGTCATTGCAGAAACTACATCAGGAAAGACAGATCTGAGCTCCAGAGCTGACATAAAGGCTGAGGCTCTCTCAAAGGCAGAACGTGCCATACCAAGGAATGGCAGGACTTGCGTTTCTGCTGGGAAGCTGAAGGCACTGGGGACTGGAATGGCTTCCCTCAGCCCGTGCAAGGGATGAGCAGCCAGGAAAGGTCCAGCACTTCTTCCCAACACCTGCTTCGGCAGCTGGAGCAGCACCAAGCGTCCTGCTTATTGCAGAGCGGGACTCTCCAGTGACACCATCCAGCAGCAACATCTCATCAGCACACCTAAAAAGCTACTAGCAGCCAGTGAAACACAGCAACCTCCCCCGTAAGAACTGGGATTGAACCCCAGTAGCTCAACCACGAAGCCCAGGGATTCCTGTGGGACAAGACCTTCCTCTGGCAGAAGTCAGGGCAGAAGGTGTCAGCAGAACCAAGCTGACCTTCCCCAGCCAGGAATCAACATCTTACATGGGAAAGCAGATGAAACAGCCAAGAGCAAACCCTAGCAACGACTGCTCCTATCCAGCAAACAAGTCCTGCCAAATTTTAGAAACACACAACCTATGGCCTCAGTAGGTGTGCAACGTTAGGGATGACCCCCTGAGCAGAAGGAGGACTGATGATGAGACTGGGCTGGAAGTGAGATGGTGAGAAATGAACTACATTTAGAGATGAGTGCAGGGAACCTGCTCCCAGGAGAAAGGGGACTATCATGGGTAAAGCAAGGTGTCAGAAAGCCCAGCGGGACACATCTCAGAGGAGATTAGCAAGGCTGCCCCCGCTCCATTGGCAGGTCAGAAGCTAAAAGCAGCACAGAGAAGACTTGAGGAGTTTGTAAAGAACCTGTACTTTTAACATCCCAAAACAGCAGCAGGGAGAAGAGCTTTTAGGAGTCAATAACAAGACCAAAGCCATGCACTTGGAAAACATCCCCCTTCCCCCAGGCTGGCAGGGAAACTGGCATTCCTCTCCAGGGTGGGCAAACAGCTGTGGCGAGAGGACAACTCCGGCTGCTCCCTTGCATTCACTCCCAGCTAATCTGCCTCGACCAGCAGCTGAAGCCCGCAGCTAATCTCGCCCACAAGATCCCCCTGCACAGCTGTCACTCCCTGTTGGTGGGGATGCTGATCCTGTTAACACTGGCTTCCTGTTATTCTCCCTGGCTTCCTTTGAAGAGCCTATTTGTCTGTCTAATAGCTAATGAGCAGAATACAACAGCCTATTTTTTGCTCTGTTTAAAGATTTTTCATGGGGCTGTTTCCTGCAGAGATTCTTCTCTCCAGCACATGACAAAGGTCAGCTGGCTGCTCGCTCAGAAAGGTTCACGTTTAAGGCAGAGCCCTGCAGAGAGAAAAAGCTTTGCTTAGAACTAGGCCACTGAAAGGAGATATGAGAGCATTTCCAATAGTCACGTTGCAGAGCACACAGATGCTTGTGGAGGGAGGCTCACAGACCTGGCCGCTCTGATCAGCATCCCTCCAAATTGGTGGGAAACACTGCGGGAGAGCTGTGAAGTGGAATCAGCCTTTTTGTTTTAACAACTCAACCACAGATCTCCCCCAAGGAAAGATGAGATCACATCATCCAACATCATTTCCAAAATTGTATTGGACTGTCCCCCAGAGATCACAGAATCATAGAATAGTTTGGGTTGGAAGGGACCTCTAAAGGCCATCTAGTCCAACCCCCCTGCAATCAGCAGGGGCATCTTCAACTAGATCAGGTTGCTCAGAGCCCCGTCCAACCTGATCTTGAATCTTTCCAGGGACGGGGCATCCACCACCTCTCTGGGCAACCTGTGCCAGTGTTTCACCACCCTCAGCATAAAAAATTTCTTCCTTAGATCTAGTCTGTATCTACCCCCCTTTAGTTTAAAGCCATTCCCCCTTGTCCTGTCACAACAGGCCCTGCTAAAAAGTTTGCCGCCATCTTTTTTAGAAGCCCCCTTGAAGTACTGATAGGCTGCAATAAGGTCTCCCCAAAGCCGCCTCCTCTCCAGGCTGAACAACCCCAACTCTCTCAGCCTTTCTTCATAGCAGAGGCGTTCCATCCCCCGATTATTTTTGTGGCCCCCTTCTGGACCCGCTCCAACAGGTCCATGTCTTGATGACCAACTCCAAACCATCCTGCGATAGACAATATTCGCTAGGTGTTTTGAGGTCTTTCACAAGGGTTTGAAGAGATACAAGACCTTTGCAGAGAGACAGCTCCCTTTGTGGAGAAGGATGTCCCATTCACATTGGGACACATCTTTCAGTCTCCCACAGGCGCTCTGCTCTCCCGCACCAAACCGGGCCATTTCCTGACAAGGGACAGCCCGGGACTGCTGCCCATGTGTTGGAGCACTGGCTGAAAGGACAAGAGGCTGGAAGGTTCCTTCGCAAGTTTGACGTGAAGAAAACAAGAAAGAAACAGCCGCTGGTGCCAGCTTTGGTGGTCCATGCTGTATTGCTCGAAGCCTCAGCAGGGCTTCCAGGTGCTCAAACAGGCCACGGTGAGCCAGACCTGCCAAGGCATCCAGCTAAGAAAGCTCCTCACCCACAACACCCCTAGGAAAAACTAATCCTAAAGTCACCAAGTCAGAATAAAAACACGGATGCAGCTGTGATGACCACTCGCATTTGCTCCAACCACTTCCCTTTCCTGTAGGAATTGCCTGATCGTGCAGTTGATTCAAGATATTGCTCACTTACTGCTTCAATTGGCAAGAAACCAGAGCACTGCCCTTCTCTAAAGCTTGGGGTGATGCTTGCCTGTGTCCTGGGGTGATGGGAAAAAACGTTGGCAAAGGGGAAACCGATGCACAGAGAATTTTCCAAAGCAGCCATTCATTCGGGGTGTGTAATTTGGGATCTCCCTGGATTTTCCAGAGATGAAGAGCATGCATTCCACGCCTGCCCCCTTTCTAAGCTACAGCTGCTCAGCACATCTGGAGCAAAAGAGGGTAGGAGTCGTCTCAGCAAATTCTGAGCTGCTAGCCTCAGTGACCCCAAGAGAGACGAGATGAGAATGAAAATTAGGTCTCAATCCTGCTATTAAGACCACCCGCCCTTCCTCCCTGGGAGGAAGCACGCCAGCCTCATACAGCACAAGTACGGGGAATATTCTGCTGCAGCATTACGGCGTTCTGCGGGGGCTGCAGGCTTTCGCTAAGCAGCTTGCACAGGGCGGCATGCCAAGGTAAAGCAGCTGGCACTCCAGCCGCAGAGGGAACAAGGGATTCAAACGGGAGGGTTTGAACCGTAAAAAGGCCTTTTTATGTGAGTGGTCTTGAATGGATGTGGATGGGGACAGGAAGAAAGTTTGCAGCTCCGAGGGCTCCGGCTCACAAGCTCGGAGCTCCAGAGGTCCCGTGATGAAGCTCCTTAAGAGACCGCCACTGCCTGCCTGCACCCAGCCCCGCAGATTCACACCAGCCAACACCGATTTGCTCACGTGCCAATACGCTGGGCAGCAGGCAGCATCAGGAGAGAAGCAGACACGCCACCCATCAAAGAACTGCCCAGCAGTGACAGCAGAGCTTTGTAGGGCTCCCCTGTGCAGAACAAGGTCCCACTTATCTCCAAGTGTGCAAGCAGCCTCATCAAAACCCCAGCACAGGCAGGGAAGCTCCCTTACCTGTATCCTGCCGGAACTGCGTCAAGCTTGGGATGTCGATGACATAGGGGGCCAAGACAGGATCCGCGTGTCCCAACGGGATGCTGCTGACAAGCCCCGACCCCGAACGCCGGCCCTTCTGCTGAGAGGCCTGAAAAACCTGTTCAATGTAGCTGCAGACGTTCCCTCGGTATGGCCTCCACCTGCCAAATTCATCCTGCCATTCCCACACCGCCACTGCCGTGGAGTTGCTGCTGTGCCCCAGGGCAGAACCAGGGAGTCCGGATGGCCCGGCCGAACTGCTTCCCGCTCCCTGGGCTGCTGCCATGTTCCTCCCTGAGGTCTGGGCACGCCGTGATGGGAAGTGGCAGCTGCGCTGGCTGGCCTTACACCATTTTCTTCTGGGGGACCTGCAGCGAGAAACAAAGAGAGCACACAGAGCTGAGAACAATGCCCCAAATCCACCCCACCCTGCAGCCATACCACACAAGCCATTTAAGAGAGGGAAACAAGCTCAGCCTTTCACAGAAGATGCTCACTTTGCATTTAGGAGACTACAGAGAAGTGGATCAGCCTCAAAACCCTCTGGTCGAGGGCAAATGAGGTACCACCACCCACTCCCTGCCAATGCTAGCAACTTTTCTTGCTAATTTAGAGCAAAAACTCTTTGAAGAGACTCAGCTTCTTACAGTTTGTGGCCCCAGACACCACCAGTTGCTGCAGACCTGTACAAAACCAGCCCAGAGCTGCTGCTGATCTGCGTTGGGCAGATCCGTAAGCCCTGACCCGAGTTCAGATGCCCACTAGCCAGGAGCGGGCCAAGGCAAGCCGCCACCCTGCATCCCTCCCCACCCCAGCTCAGCGCCGGTCCTGGCAGCGTTACGCTCTGACCACCCTGACGTGAGCTGCCAGCTTGCGAGCGGGAGCTCTCCGAGTGCTCGTGCACACGAATGACTTGGTTACACAAGCAGTTCCCAAACTCTTCTCACTGATCTGAGCTTCAGGGCTACAGTGTCAGCTCCCTTCAGGCTTCTGATCACTCAGTTTTGATCCAGGATCAGTCTCCCTTGACTCCTTTTGTGCAGCGCTATACATGCACACAAAGCCAGAAGACAATCCTTTACGCACAGTCTGCAAATCGCAGTAATACATACGTCGAGCGTGATCTGAGCGAAGAACGGATGGGAACGAGTACGGAAGCACCAGGAGGAACGCAGGGCGTAATGAACAGCCTGTGCTGAGGGCAGTGCTTTAGCACGTCCTCAAGATCTCAGCGCACCTAGCTGCAGCTTCTCAGGTTGGAAAACAAGGAACATCTTGAAACAAGGGACAATCTGCATCAACAAAGACTCAAGCCAGAGACTCAAGCCATTCTTCTTGGGGAAGAACAGAGAATGGGGTAGGAGCCTTAAGACATCCAGATAAAGACACAAAGGGCAGGGAGCAAATCCTACGGGCTCACAGAGAAGGGACAGGAAGCAGAGACAAAAGATCACCGTCACTCTTAGCCCCCAAGGGATGTAAAAAAGCAGACCTAAAGCCATCACATGGTCGCCAAGCTGTCCGAGAGACACCAGAGGTCTGATATTTGGCATTCTTTGTCTGCTACGTCATTGCAAGGAATCCTGTCCAGACCATCTGGACGCATGTGTCTTGATGCCCAAATGCCAGACAGACCACTTGGAGATCCCTGTGTTGGTGCTCGTGAGCAGGTGTTTTATCATAAAGTCGCCTTCTCCCTCCTAAGGTCTCACATCATTGATTGCTCGCTTAGCTCCCAGCAGTCAGCAGGGAGCTATGAGCTTCCGTCCCGTCAAATGGAAAAGTTCAGGTCCCCCAAGAGGCAGAGAAGCAGTGGGCGGCTTCCACTGGAGGATGCCATCTGCACGGAGAATGACATCCCTGCCGGATGGGAAAGATCCCACGCTCTGTGGAGCGTCCCATCCATCATGCTCGTGTGGCTTGCTAGCTTAAAAAAAGAAATAGAAAAAGAGCGAGCGAAGAACAGACGCGCCCACATGTCTGCATTTATAAGAGGAAAGCAACACTTTCTCCAGGAATTCATTGTAAATTAGTTTATGAGCTGCTCTGGGATTTTTACAGAACACCCCCAGCTCGACTGGTGTTGGTGACAAACTGCTCTAGATCACCAACAGAAGACGCCGGTCGCTGCAACTGATCTTTCCGATGTAATTCGTTCTCCCCTAATGCACCAAGGATGGTTATTTTATTGCTCAAAACAGCAAATTGATACTTGAGGTATCAAACTCAACACCTGCCTCTGCCAGCCCTTTTTATGGCAGGTTTCACGCCAACACATCTCCTCCTCGGGGACCGCCAGCATGTCCATGCTCGCCTTGGACCAGCGTGAGCCACAGCAGGGCTGCAGGGTTTTCTGTCCTACCCCCTCCCCCTCGGGGACCGCCAGCATGTCCATGCTCGCCTTGGACCAGCGTGAGCCACAGCAGGGCTGCAGGGTTTTCTGTCCTACCCACCTGCATCAGGTGCTCTGAACCCCAAACAGAGAACCCACACCATTTTTTGCCCCCAAGTTGTTGTTACCAAATATTCATCTGCACATCCTACAGCCACAAGCAGAGCAGAAGAGCAGAGGGAGGTTGTTTGGAGGGAGTCGGCGATCCGTTTTCCTTCCTTTTTTAAAACGCAGCAGCAGGAAATGGAAAAAAAGAGGGTATCCCAGCAGAAGAGCTGCCTCCATGTACCACCTCGCACTCGCTGGGATGCTGGCCGAGAACAACCAGGTGACAAAAGCCTATTGCTCACCCCCTCGGACAGCAGCGATGCTTTGAATCCTGGACCACACGTGCCGACCAGCTCCCACACGCAAGCAAAGGTACCCGGACCGGCTGCTCGCAAGTGCCGTGTGCTCTGACATTCACTTCCCCATCAGAATGGAAAAATATTTCCTGTGCTGGAACTGCTGGTCCAAAGGAGGAGCAAGGGGCATATTTCAATTTCAGCCTCCTGCCAGTTCTCGCTGCTGAACGCCGCTCGAGCCAGCAGCTGTTTGCGTGGATTGGGAAGCGAGGAATGCGGGAGAGCTTCAGTAAGCCAAAACTACACGAGCCCCTGAGTTAAGGCAAACAAGAGAAATAAAAGGCCTGAAGTTGCGGTTCCTTTCCCCTCTCCGTGAATTCAGCAGCACACAAATATTAAAAGCTGAGAAATTCAATACCAGAGCTGCTCGTACGGTTTTCAGCCTACCCCCTTGGGCTGCCATGTGTGTTACACCAAGGCAGAGAGGGTCTGGGGTAGGCAGCTCACAGAGCTGTACGGAGATGGCTGGCTGTGGCTTGGGACGCGTCACACATCCCACTTTACCAACGCTGCGTTCTGGATGCTAGCAGCAGCAGTTCAGCTGCACCAGCTCCTTCATGCTGGCTCTGTCCTGGGAAGGCTGGCAGCCCAGAGAGAGCAGCTACGGTCTTTGCTAAAATCCCATGGACTATAAACACTTCACCCTGAGCTTTAAAAATGCCTTGAAAAGCTAAAAGTCATACCAACCCCTAAAAGCTATGTTTATTCAGCAAACAGGCCTGGCTCCAATTAGAAATCCTATGGGCCACCTTGCCCCAAATGAAAACAAAAGCACGACTACTCGAAGTGCAAACTTAAATATTCCGGCCAATTGCCCCCCACTTAGGAGGTAATTTGTAACTTGGGCTCAGATCTTGAATTTGGATTTGTTTGGTTGGATCTTTAACACCCCAGCACAACCTCTGAAATGTTTGCCCACATGGATTTAATCGGGGACTTGGACAGGAAAAGAATTGGGTGCATTTCAGTTGTGTTTCCCAGCAGATTCACTCCCTGCTCCTCAAGCTCCAGCAAATGGTGGTGAGAAAGCCGGGGAGGGGCAGGTGGGAATTAAAGCATTTGAAAGACATATTTAATTCTCAAACCTGTTCTACTTCCAGAAAGCAGAATTTTCTTTTGCTTTAAATGCAGGATCTTAAAATTCACGGGTCTGAGATGATTTCTAAAAATGCCAAGTCCCTTTTTAAGTTTCTGAACTGAAATTGCCAGCGCTGATCAAAGTTTAAATGATATGCTAGCTTGTACCTGGAAAAGAAAAGGCCTCAGGAGCCCTTGAGCTAGGGTTGCATTAAAAAAATAAAAGTCACCAGACTGGTAAAACAGAGACTTTTCAGCAGGTTGCTCAGAAAAGAGGGTGCCCACGAGGAACTTGTTAAGCGCCACTAACACCACATGAGAGGTGGGACTGGAAGGGCTACAAAGAGCCCATGGGAAAAGATTACACACGGATTAGGAGAGCGCATAAAGCACAGGGAGGCAGCGGGGCTGTAATAAACCCGTGACCCTGTGCAGGGTGCACGACTGGAGCAGCACTACAGGTGCCCTGTGCCACCCTGACCCCAAACCACCCAGCCAGGGCCCCCCCACGTCATCTGATCTGCACTTCTAACTGTGAGATAACTCACATCGAAGCACATCTTTCCCTACACGAGCAGCCAGCACACAGCTAGCAGCAACCAAGGGTAATGCTAGAGCAAGGTAGCAGAGGGGAGGTCGAAGTAATAACTCCAGCCGCGCAGATCGATCTGCCCTCGACACGGTCCTGCCTTCTTCCAGCCTTTGCTGATCCTCGCGGCACAAGGCGGCTGGGTTGACAGCCAAAAGAACGGAAGAAATGAAACCCGACTGCTCCAAACCTGGACTCCTTCCATTCAAAACAAGCTTCAAGAGAGTTCCCTTTGGAGGAAAAAATAAAGACCGCAGCTCAAGCAGAACAAAGCGTTTGCCTATCAGCTAGGCAGAGGGCCTATTTCAGGCATGAATGAATAGGAAAGCTGAGGCAGCGAGAAGAGGGCAGGTACACCTGAACACAGGATCACACCAAACCCGGCATCCCGCTCGCTCGCTCCAGGGTCCTTCTGGGCACTGAAGCACGTTAATGTGTGGGGAGCCTGTTCACTTGTGAGGGTGCACAGCTGGCAAGATCTGGAGGGCTCCTCCAGCTTCGACCAGCACCAGGAGGGCTCTTCCCCTGCCTTTAGCCGGACGGCACAGCCGGGCTGCCGGGAAGGGCAAAGCCAAGTCCTGCCGCGGGGAGCTGGTGACTCGGGGCCAGCCTGGCCGCTCCGCCGCGGCCGCTCGCCCATCGGAGAGCTCAAGCCGACCCTGGAAGCTCCCAGCAGCACCGACAGACCCACGGCAGCCGCCTCCTGCCTTCAACGCGGCACCCCCCGCTTCAAACGCCCGGTCACCCCGGGGTA